TAATAAAACGATAACTATATAGGTACGAAGTATAGTTAACGTGTCGACGTGTCGTGATCGAATAGGTATCAAGAGGTATGAATATACTTATTTCTGGTTGTGTATAAAGCTATTGAATTAGAAAAGGCAAAAATAAATACACAACTTAAATTAATCGTTAATTTATTGGTTTAACGTCATAAAACGAAAGTGTTGAAATTAAACTCGTTTGTCCGATAACGTGTACACTGTGATATTATATTATTAAATAGTTTTGAATCTAGAAAATATAATAAACGTATACCTCTTGAATACTAACCTAAGTTTGATTATATTGATAAATTGTGTATCCTATGGCTATGACCCAATTTAATAATACCTAATCGTACAATGACGCCTCGAATGATATATAATATATATTATATGTAATAGGTATACAATTGGTTTTAAAAATATTTTGCATCTATTTGCAGTTAAACATTTTTGTTTTGTTCGATTCAACTTTGTATAGTAGTTAATAATGATTAAATGCCTACTACGTTATGTACACGCATTCACAAAAGCTTAAAAATTGTTTTTATTATTATTATACCTAATATTTTACAACTCTTTACAGTTATTTTAATTTTGAAACGTTATTAAAAATTATTTATGAACCTCAACTATATTATGTTCTATTATTTGTTCAATTCACACACATACTMACATCATTTATGTGTTTATGCTATTATAAAATTACTTTTTTATTTAAACCTAAACATATTTTTCGAATTAGTTTATCACTACGAAATATAAACCTAAAAAATTWGTTAATATACATATGAGATACAACCACCAAACTTAAAGTATACAATCAAAAGTTCATAAGTTTTAATTTTATTAGTACGTATACAATAATATCATGGTGGGAATTCATCACGGGTAATATATACTTAGAGAAGCGTAGGTTTTTTTTGTTGTATAAAAAACTCATCAATAGTTTTTAATATCACTCATGCTCATATATATACAGGATGTTCCACAGAGATCTGACATTCTGACAAATTAAATAACTTTTGTTCWAATCAATATTTAAAAAAAATGTCTTTTAAATATAATTCATAGACACTTGCRCTACATTTTTAGAATACATTTTTTATTTTTTAATACTGAAATTAAAAAACTTAAAAAATGATAATTTTTTTTTCGAAATATTCAATATAGGTAGCCAATTTGTAAATCTGATTTTTAGAAAAATGTATATAGTAAAAACACTTATATAAGTCAAATTACTGATTTTTACAATTTTTTAAATATCAATATTTTCGTTAAGTAAATTACGATCTAGTTTATGTTAGAAACCTTGTAATTTCAAATAATAATAACGTTTTTTAAAAATATTTTATTAGAACATTTTTAAATAAGTGCATGCTAATTATTTTTTTTATTGTATTTATTTTTATAATATGTGATGCATAAACTATAAATTACTATAATTTACCTAACGAAAATATTGATATTTAAAAAAATCAGCCTTTGACTTAAATAAGTGTTTTTACCAAATACATTTTTCTGAAAATCAAATTTACAAATTGGCTATATTGAATATTTCGAAAAAAAAATTTATCAATTTTTAAGTTTTTAATTTTCAGTATTAAAAAATAAAAAATGTAGCRCAAGTGTCTATGGATTATATTTAAAAKAAATTTTTAAAAAATATTGATTAGAACAAAAGTTATTTCATTTGTCAGAATGTCAGATCTCTGTGGGACACCCTGTATATAGTAATAATATACTTTTATAAAAGACCCTTTGTATTTCGTTTTTTGTTTTGTTAGACTATTTATATAAGATATATATTATTAATGGATTTTCATTAAGTAATAGGTTATATATATATATAAATATTAGTCAAACGGGGTCACCATAACTATAGCTACAAGGGAAGCCTCACGAAAAATAATAACAAAAATGATGTCATAACGAAACATACAAAAAAAGGACAGTACTAACGCGTGAGTGTATTTACACCTGGTGTACGCACATACACACCCACACGCAACTGTTGACTTATTRCTTGTATACCTAACATTCACAAGCACCTGGTATAATATCAACGAGTCAGCAATGTAATATGTTTATGGTGTCGATGGTGTCGTTGGTGATCGAAACGTTTGACGGGTAAAAAATGAAAAAAGTCAATATTCAAAATACACATAATATATCTACAGAGTACGGCTGCAGATAATATAATATAATATAATAATAATATTATAAAGCGAATCTATATAAGTGCGAACTCGCGAGTCCCATCAACATGATATAATAATATGTGATAATAATAAGCCACTGTAGTAATCCGATTTCAGATAAACAAGTATTGAAATGTGGGTTGAMAATAAATTGACCTAACCTAACCTATGTTTCCCATTGCAAAAATCGACATTGCTGACCACCGCAGTAWTCGATCGAAAGTCATCATTTAACCGACTTGTAATTAGGTATAAAAACTGCAGATAATAATTATTGTTACCTATTGTTTACAAAATTATTTCATCTAACAAAATCGTGTTTAACGGCATTGTGACTAAAAAATAAGTGATGTATCAGAAGCCAATAAGTAGCAACCATAATGGATTATAAAAAATATCTGTTATGTAACATAATTTGATTCATTTTTTGCAACTGAATTCGTAATGGATAAATAATTTTTATAAGTATTTTATAGTGCAGTATTAGAATATTACTTGAGTATTTTATATGGCAGGTTGTAGGTACATAATATTATTATTTCAAATTATCAATATATGATGCTAATTTGCAGTTACTTAGATACAAAACTCGTTGGTATAGGAATTTTCTGAATATAGGATAGGTACAGTAGTATTATAATTTATTAAAATGTACTTTTTGTGTAAAAATGTAGATCATATTTTCAACACGGGTCAGAAAACAATAAACGTATTAATTTTATTCTTTCAGCGGTTCAAATAATAAAAGCTAGTTAGTGRTAGATAACTTCAGTGTCCCGTGTATTTTTTGAACAGGTTCGTTAAATAATGGAAAACAGAGCACTCACGTTGTTCAGTTGTTGTTCGATAGAACAAAGAATTRATTGTTATAAATTGATTTTTATGAAAGGTGAACGACAATAATTAACTGATAGTTTTAAAATTCACACTTTTGTATGATACATTTTTAAAATAATCGCTAGTCACAACATTTTATTCATTATGATTATGGTCCACGGGCGGTGTGCTCGGTGGGTACAAGAAACGAACGCGTAGGTCGTAAATATCTACTTAATTTGTATAAACGGATAAACAAGATTGAAAATTCACGGGTTTGCGGGTTTTACGATATTGGTGGTAGGTATATGTAGTAATTGTATTTTACCTGTTATAATAATGTCTATTTCCCAACACGAAATCGTTTTTTATTTTTAAATAGCGTCCTGTACAAATGTATATAGATTTGCGGATTACAATTTAATTTAAATACATAGRAGCGACAGTGGATATATTTTTCAAACAAATAAAAATTAATACACATAAAAAATATATATTTTAAATAATTTCCATATTTCCCTAGCAAGAACAACATAGATAACACGTAGACATTTGGTTTATGTCACTTAGAAATGCACGCCCCATGCCCAGATTATCCCTCCACGTCGGACGATAATACGGTGTTCTACTATACTGGAAACTCTGGTTTAGAGTAAATACAAATTTAGTGTTCAGGATTATATTTGGGGGAAGAAGTACCACTGWAAACGAATGCGTTAGGGGTACAGAATACAGACAATGGGTTGTCACGCTGAAAGCCACACATCTGAAAATATGTTGAAAAATTGTATCATTGAATTAATATTCTAAAGAGATATTTTATGTTTGACATTGATCACAATTTAACCACCCAATTCACCATTTTACAACCAAATTATAGACACTTTTCTCTCAATTGACTTGTATTTAATAAATATTTATCTAATTAATTTTTTAATTTTAAAATATACTTTATATCAATCAGTATAGTTAATATGCATAAATATTATAAGTTAAAAAATATTATGAGTTATGACTTAAAATAATTATTAAAAGTTAAAGTCAAATATAATTATAATATTATTTAAATATTATAATTTATTGTTGATATTATTTTTCTAAATAATATTAACAGTGGCTCGTATTATAATTGACATCTAAGGCCTAATAATGATATATCACCAAAAAAAGTAATGGTGTGAATATCTATTACGTTTATTTTGCATACAATTTGCTGCACAGCAGTGTAACCTTTGCATACGCCCTAGTGGATGTTGTCGTAATTTCTGTCGTGATTGAACGGGAACGCGTTAAGACAGAGAAGATGTGCATACACATTTAACCTGCCGCTCAAGTACCGTAATTGACRGCCGCTGCAAGAACCCCGAGCTATGAGCTAGCTCATTCCATAATGTACCACTGTTATACTTATTTTTTTCTTATAGTGTACATAGTGTATAATATTTATCTTCTACTGGTCGCGCAACAGACTATTACCATGTTTCGGTCAAACGACGACATTGAGGTCACGTACGCACGTCTTAAAGTGTGCAGATGTGCTCTCTAAACTGTGACGAAACGAGTTGAGAGTACTTCGGTCGCAACATCAAATTAACGCAGAAATGTATTATACAAGCACATACCTATTACCTATATACGCTACCTACTGTCCATGCAAATCAAAAACACTAATTCGCATGACGATTGCCTTTGAGTTCTATACAATACCTACCAAATATGCATAGGYGAAACTAAGGATGTAATTATTTTTAAGGGGCCCAACAAACTACCAACAAAACTAAGCGAGTTATGTCATAATAAAATATATATTAGTACACATTTACATTTTACTATGTGTTTTAACTCTATGACATTTGAGAAGAAAGTTACATCATGCCAAGGCTTGACAACAAGGTTYGAACAATTAACACTTAAGACCTGTAGCTAGCATATAATAAAAATTTTATAATTATAATATTATTATGAGCGACTTACCAATCGGCGGCGACTGCAAATTATAGTTGGCCATCGACGACGATGACGGGGATGGAGACGTTGACGYAGATTGCTGTTGTCCCGGATGTTGCGCGATCCTCCTGCGGTTATACTCTCTCCGTGGCGGTGAAGCCACATTCTTGTATCCTGGAGGCCTGTACCTGGCTGACTTTACGTTAAACTGGTGTACGCTATGCGCCTTGTATATACCAGTTAACGGACTCGGAGACGACACGGGTGTGGTGGTTGCGGTTGTAGGCAGCCGGGGTAATGAGTTTGTATTCGATGACGATGTGATGGCCTGCTGTTGCAGACTCCTGGGCAACGTGGTTGATTTGGGACCGGTGGCCGCCACGCCGTCGTCGCTGTCACCACCGGAATCACCACTATCAGGCACACTACCCCTTCTCCTTCCGTTCCTCCAGATTCGGTCCTCGACGCTKCCGCCGATACTTCCACACGATCGCACACGATCCAACTGTTCCCGGCTACTGTTAGCACTCTTTATCAAGAGGTCACCGGCAGACCGTCTTTTAGCCGCGAGCGTTACGCAACTCTCACCGCTCGACGTTAACCGGGTTCGTGAGTCCGACATCATAAGCGTTGACTCGAAACTGCCCCGCCAACTGAACCTTTCGTTGTCGCTGGCCTCTTGCCTAGCCTCTTCTAATAACGGATCGTGTGACTTGGACCTGGGCAGCGGGCTATCAAACTGTTCATCGTCACCCTCATCCTCTTCTTCCGTGGTAGTAGAAATGATTGACGTTTTGTGATGGTGATGAGATCGTCTATTATACCGGGATGCCCGTGGCGTACCGGGATTTTCGGAAACCGCGTGCATCAGCGCTACGAGCCGGCTTCCGATATGTTGCATAACTTTAGTGACGAGTGGTGGCGAGTTCCTGGAAGTTGACGAATCAGAACTTGGAACATCGATCTTTCGTAGTGAAGCCATGAGTTTCTGATAGACAAACGCTGTGTCTCTGTTTTCGTCCTGTAGTCTAGATCCGGTCTCCAAATCAGAACTTGTGTAATCMGACGAATCGTAAGAATCGCTCCACGTGTCCTCGCTACTTAAGTATTCGACGATTTCTTTCACCTGTTCGTCTCTAATTCCCGGAACGGTTTTCATTAATCTTGTCAATTCAGACTCAAATTTTACTAATTGGGGGGGCTTGCTCTTTTCTCCAGGAACTTCCGGTTTTGGTTGGTTAGCCAACATAGTCTTGAAAAACGCCCTCATTTTAGACATCATTAGATTCGTTTCTTCGTCCGAACTCCAATTATTAAAGCTGTCAGTTCTGGTCAGTCCATCTGCGCCATTTGGTTTTTGATYGCTTTCCGTTATCGGAACTGTGACTTTTTCTTCTAGGACTTCAGCACTCTCTGGGTTTTTATCTTGCACGTCGTCTCCAATATTGATAGTTTCTACGTTTTCTTCGATTTCTAATGCTTCCAAAGGAGGAGCAGTAACAACCGACMTTTTCTTCTTTTTGCCCCGTTTAACAGTATCAAAYTGACCGTCATTTTTTTCAAATGATATAGATTCGTCGTTTGAATCCGAGCTTGTAGATGATTCTTCGTATTCCAATTGTATTTCTACCTGTTGTTCGGATTCTGTAAGATTATCTAGCGACGAATGTTGACGTCCAGTTCCTCTAGCTCTAACCAATCTCTTTCTCCGTTGCTCAGGGCTGTGTTCTGGACTGTCGCTACCAACACTACCATCCGAGTCTGGTCGATTGAAGCCCATAAACTCACTTAAGAAATATCGTTCTAGTCTAGATCCAGCCATTTCTGATACTACTGGTTGTGGCTCGATGCTGTCCAAAGACTCAAGTCCTTCGCTTATGATAGAACTTGTTTCAGAAAACGCATCAGTATTTCTACCAGTGTCTTGATCTTTATCACAGAGACCAAAGAAAAAATATTTTTCCAATTCTGTTTGGTTGTTCCTGTCCGACTCTACTTCACTTTCTTCGCAGCTCTCTTCGACGATGGTGTGCAAAGTAAAGTCCAATGCCGATCTCCTAAACTCGGGTTCTTCTTCAAATGACATTTCTTCACCTTCGGAAGATTCAATTTTGAAATCATCCCTATCCAGGTCTTCCACCCAAGAATCATCATCAGCCAAACCTTCTTCCAATGCGATGACAGCCGACAACGTGTCACCGCCAGTCACGACTTTCACTTCACTGTCATCAGCTGGTTCGGACGTGTCCAGTGTGAGTTTGAAACCTTCGTCTTGGATGACTGTGGGCATTATTTTTGTAGTATCACTGGTTACCACATTGACAGCCGGTTTGTCGTCCCGTGTTATCATTATCAGACTGGTAAACTTGCCACTCAGGCCGGCGCCAGCGGAAGATTCGTCAACGGATATTTGTTCCATGGACTCAGTRCCGGAAAACTCATCAGAAGCACTACTGTTTCCAGCGGCAGACTTAACCGCCGCGGCGGCCGCTGAATCCAAAATGCTGGACAGCTTCACGTTGCACCCGTCATCTTCATCTTCATCGTCGTCATCGTCCGGGCTGTCATTGACGTCGTACGACATGGCAACGTTCTGCGCGTCTGAATCGTCCGAGTCGTCTGACGGCGACGGAGATGGTGACGAAGATGACGAATAATAACCGACCTCGCCATCGCGGTCGTCATCTCCGCACGATGCGACTGGTAACGATGACGATTTTGCGTCGAGGGTCGACGCGCGGGCCGCGTACATGGTAAGTACGGCACCACCGCCTTCGTCGACGGCGGCCGCAGGGGGTTCCGGCATTTCCGCGACGACACCACCGGCGCCCCTTTTTTCGTTCACATTTCTCACCTCTGCACCACTGAAGACATCCCGTTCGCGGAAATATTCAGTCAAAACGTTAGCGAATGCGGTGGTTAGCGTGTATTGCGCGCGCTCCGGCGATATCACGATCGGCACTGGCACGAACACGGGGAACGGCAACACGACCGGAACGAACGTAGTCGTCGACGTTGTTGCGCGCGCGTCGGTCTCGCTCGGTTTACTGCCACCACTGCTACCATCACTACAGCCGGTTAACTGGTCGCCGTTACCGGTACCTGCGCCACCTGCCGACTGCCGTTGTTGTTGTTGTTGCTGCGTTTGTTCCAGCGGTCGCGTCTGTTCGTTGTCGTCGTCTAGACCGGCCATGAAATAGTCCCAGTCACAATCGTCATCAGCCGACAGGCTGGACGACGTTTGACGGCCACAGCCACCGTCGTCAGATGACCAATCGGCCCCATTCAGGAAGACTAACCGATAGTCCTCTTTGGTCCGATTACCACCGATGATGTCATCGTGCAGGAAAGGGTCCCGGCGGAGAAAACGCCGACTTCGTGGTGGAGTCACTCCTGAAAATTAAAAAAAAAAAAATCATATACCTATTATCATTYAGCGATTATCTTACAATCTTACAAAACATCAGTTCAAAACTATCTAAGGATTAATTTATTTTTATTTTGTTATGACTATTACTTTTTGCCAAGTCTAAATAATAATAATAATAATAATATAAATTCAAAATTACTCAAAGATATAGAAGAGTAGTCACACGATTGTACAAATATTTATTTTATTTTCTAATCAATGAATATTGAAAAATAAAATCATGTCAKTAATAAAAAATAAGATTGACCAAAAGTTAATTAATTTGTCAATGATAAAATCTAATTAATACACTTCTTGATTCATTTTTCTTATAATAGGTTAATATAACTACAATGATTTAACAAAAACCAAAATGTAGTTTAACATAACATTTTTAATTAACCTACAAACAAATTTAGCATAAGCAAAATATTGAAGCGTTATTTCATAATAAATAAAATAGGTACCTAGTATTATTAATATTGGATAGTTAATTACAGTGTTTAATTAATTTCATCATCATTATTTATATAGTCATAATTTGAGTTATAACTTATAAGAAATATAATTTTGATATTAAAACAAAATGTTTGTAATTAATCAGAATATTATATTTGTTTTATTTGAAAAGGATATTACTTTTTAAACATGATCGATGATTTTGTAAGAAAGACATGCATTTCAATTATATTTAAACAGATTTTGTAAAAACAAACATGATCGAACGGTAGTCTGTAATCTCATAATAATATTATGTTACTTGTTGTTAAAGAAAGGTTGCTAAAATATGGGCACTTTTTCTGTTAATTGAATAGTGAAAAATAATGTTCACGAATTATTGTTTTTAAAATAAATAAACTACYAGTAAATTTGTGTAGTAATAAAAACCTAACCTAAATATAATAACGGTGACTAAAAATTATAAAATGTCACGTGTATGTTATAAGTTGTAACTTAATTAAGAAACTATACAAAATTACTTTTAAAATCACTTTAATCAACGTATATATTAATCATCTAGAAGTGGAATATCGTTCAGAAATAAACTTAAAGAAGTATTATGACAGTAATAAGAATAATGAATAATTTTTTTTCAGAGCTTTTAGTAGGTAGATAAAAAGAACAATTACAATTATTTGTAAATGAGTAATATTCTGCACTAATCGATAAAATGCACGTCATTATATAAGAATAAAACTCAATATATCAATTAATTTTTTCTTATAACACCTACAATCAATATTTAAACAACGCGTGCAATAAAATTCTAATTACTTTAGTTTTAGCTGTTGGCATTCAATAGGTTAATAATATTCAGTTTTCCTATGGCTTTGAAATTGTGCATACAGTTTAATTAATTCATTTCGTCCAATCATATTTTTTAATTAAATTAAAAAATGAGAAAACATTGATGTGATACATACATTTAGTAGGTATTCTCAATCCTTAGCTGATGTTTATGTGTATAACATCATTAAAAAAAAACCGTTCAGTGGGAAAATGACATTTTGTGTCGTCATGACGACAAGACCCATACTATAATTATGCGCATGCCGCATATTTTAGAACAGTTATAACTCTCAAAGCACACTATATTATGCATATTATACTGCATCAAAGACCACACACACGCATTTATTAGTTGTTGTTCAGCAGAGTTAAGAAATCCGATAACACCGTTTATCGACAGGAAATCCGAGAACAATAGACACCTTTCCGCACMATATTGCATATTTAATAAGAGGTAGGAACTAATAAAAGTTTTGGAAACGACATTTTTTATTTTTATTTATATGTTATTTGATTTTTACGGCATCTGCAATGTTAACGAAACCACTATATATAAGTAAAGCTCATAAATATAATATGCCCATAGTTATACGAGATTTAATTTACATAATAAATGCTCAGTAGGTACACATTAATAATATGAAATTATGATATTTTATTTGAACGTTATAGACTTATAGTGTATATGATTTGTATATTAGGTAGCTTCGGTTACATTAAAGTATTCCGAATACTTAACACGACTACGACGTATTCGTAGTATAAGTTRAGTGATTAAACCTATAATTTAATTAAACGGTTAAATAATAATGATTAATGAGAGTAATTAACAAATGTATCATGTTTTTGTTTTTTTTTGTGTGTCTAACAAAAAACGCGCAAGAATCAAGGACTATATGGCAATGTWGGGAATGTCCATTTAGTCTTATTTTCGATTGTTTACGAAATCATCTATATWTATATGTTAATTTATCTAATTATCTTTGTTGTTTTAATCTAATAAAATATGGAAAATTCGTGATCAAACGACCCTAATAGGTCACGTTTATTGACAACGTCGTCGCACGATATTAAAATAATGAACGATTTTCAAATATAGTTTACGAGTTTTGGAAATGAGATAAATATTATACTAATATGTATATTATCTTACAATAATTATATAATATGTGACATGGGTTTGAAATAAAACATATGAGCCAAATGGTACAATTTATATGAATAAACTAGACCACTGTATTGTCGATTGCACGCAGGAAAATAAATAATAATAAATATTTGTTTTGACAATAGTTACCTAGGTATAAAAAYGTGTACACAAATATTTTAAATATTTATAAATAACTATATTGTGTAAAAAAATAAAACATAATATAAAACATATTACCAGAAAAGTATAAATGATTAAGCTGAATTTGCCTTGAGTTAGATTACCTAATTACTTTGAAGTATAAATGAATTATATAGAATAACACTTATGGCTATTTATTTTTAAGTTTATGTTTTTCATAAATATTGTATTAACAAACTTGAATTGAAAAAACAGTATTTTTGAAAACGAAATCGAAAGCAAAATAAAATACTCATCGTCATCGTCCATTAAACATTGCAATGTTCCCACGACTTGCGTAAATACAATTTGAAAATKTATATAATCCAAGAAAATTAATTCTTATAATATATTTAAATCATAATGTATTATTACTTAATGTGTATTATACCTAATAATACTAATTTCAAAAGAAAGTTTTTATAAAAACACAATTAAATATGTACCTGGGTAATTATATTTAATTTGCATAAATTTGTGTGGGGATTTCATATAATATAATATATATATAATTGTATAAGCATATATAATAAATAGGTACACTGTACAGGGTATTTTAGTGATTATAGAACCATATGTTTAATTGGTAAGCGAATCGAAAGTTATTTACTTATCATATCTACAGAGACCTGATAAAGTGTCAATGATAATTTCAGTAGTAAATTCGTKTATGTTCTAAATAATTGAACTCCTATTAGATGAAATTATTCTATACACAATTACTTGTATATACTAACTTTCTGCAGATTTTAATTTTGAAAAAGTAATGATGAAAAGTTGTCGGAGAATGTTAATTTAGTCATTAATTAATGACGCGATTAATATAACTGAGAATTATTTTGAAATACAAATTATATACATTTTCTATTGGTCGCGAAGGGTAAAAAAACTTAATTACAAACGTCGTTATAACTTTCCAAAGATAACGCATCTATCATGCTATATCGTATATCTGACATATATATCTAACATAATGAGTCAACCAGAGTTTTTTTCAACATTTAAATTTCTTTATTTTGTTTGTTAAATCTAAAAAAAAAAAATTATATTAGAATTAAGAAAAATACATTCTAAATAATATTTAATATAATATACTTATTAAATAAATAAAACCATTGCGTATATAAAAAAATTCAGCTTGAAAATGTTTATCCAACACGATGGTTAGAAGGTTAAGTTTCAACATTAATAATCTAAACCGACAGAGAGATTATTTTTGTATGTAAAACATAATGAAACATTAAGTTACCGGTTGAAGAATATGGATCAATATCTTTTTATTTAATATCATTATAATATTATATTATACGATTTATACGAACGTATCAGGTCATCAGAATAAAAAAGTACTAAATGTAATATCATGTTTTTATAGGTATACGTTCTATACTTGTCGTTTTAATAAAAGTAAGAATATAACACAACACAATGTTACATATTATTTTAATGTGACATCATTGTCCACCGCTGACGTTAGATAACAATAAATGTTTTGGATAACAATAAGGAGTCCGTGTACACTCACACAGGTACAATACACAACTGACACAAAACACATTGCACGGAAAACTTGGCAACCCTGGGTGTGACAAATGAATGCATAACAATGGCAATAGGCCGGTAAGCACAATAGAYGGATTGCCGAAAGAAGTGGCTGCAAGGTTAACCACCTCACACACCAATGGTYGAGAGCATCGTGTGGGAGAGAAGTAGAAAACCTATACTGAACAGAAACGTTATCGGTTTTTGGTTAAGTACGTGGTTATGCCACCTTGTGGACATCCATGCGCATTTAAATGCGTATCGGATACACTTCAGGCGTAGTTCACCTAAAAAAAATACTTTACAAAATAAAGTTAAGATATTACTATATTAGTAGTTCTTATAGTTATTTTAATAGTAAGCAGTAGCTTTTTTTGTTTGTCATATCATCTTATATAAATAATATATTCAATATAAATATGTATATTAAATACATAGAACAACTCTTAAACAATATTTTTTAATATAAAATGCATATGATTTATTATCATTTTACTAAAAACTTATTATTAGCTATTTAAAATAATTAGTATTTTTAGTGAATATTATTTTTTCATCAAGTTGACATCCTTACTACATTATATTGTGTTGCGCAAAATTATTAATAAATTACAATTTTTAAATAAAATTGCATAATTAACACGGGAACAATATTGTTAAATAATTTTTAAATAAACATCACGTTTTAATATTATGAAACAATGTTCATAATTTGATAATATTTTAGAATATTGCCAAAACTGAACTCATAAAAAAACGGTCAACAGTAAAATGCTGACGTTTCGAAAACACTACCTAACTGTTAAATTACACATTCATGATATTTAACGATTATCATTGTGATAATTTTTTCCATTTATTTCCACATATTAAGTKTTTGATTGTTTGTAATAAAATCTGAGTTAAAGTCGAAAGCTTTCAGTTGTTTATCATTACTTTATAGAAGAAATTGAATTAAGTTGAATTAGGTTATATTTTGCATTTAACTATAAGTTATTTTAATAATTTATTGTTTTATTATAGTGAAGTGTATTTATTTACATAATTTGGCTGGAAGATACGTTGTTTTTTARCTGTTTTAGTCAAGGGGCTAGGTAAATTAAGTCYGAGATAAGTTTGGTACATTTTGAAAGCGGTAAATTGAGTCCCGGGGAAAAATAAGTAGTAGGTAATTTGAGTCCCAGGGAAAAACGATTTATATGCATTTAAAATTTGAAAATGTGCACTATAAAATTTTTATTTGT